AGGTGGGAGAATCCCTGGGCTGGAAGATCTCTGAGAGCCATTCAGATAGTGTCTGTGCCTCCTACTTGTTAATGCCCCTCATTGGGCATGGAAACTGTGTGTCTTGTGGCATTTCTCCCTTGATGTCTCTGGAGGTGGAGCAATGCTGGTAAATAGTACTGGACATTGCCTTATGGTTCTGTGCCAGATGCATGTGATGATGTCTTTGTCTCTGGGGCTGAGTGTTGGATCATCACATATCCAGATTTAAGAGTGGGGCACCTAGGGCAGGTGCTGAGCATCTGCCCTGGGAAGGCACTGGCACTGCTGAAGGCCTCTGCCTTGCACAGAGCTGGCTTGTTCCTTCGTCCTGTTGCCTACATATTGAGGGTACAGCCACCTCACCACTGTGTTTTGTGGTCCTGCAGTTCCTGCGAGTCACCAAGCAGTACCTGCCTCATGTGGCACGACTCTGCCTGATTAGCACCTTCTTGGAGGATGGCATCCGTATGTGGTTCCAGTGGAGTGAGCAACGTGACTATATTGACACCACCTGGAGCTGTGGCTACCTGTTGGCCTCATCCTTCGTGTTCCTCAACCTCCTGGGACAGTTGAGTAAGTGGCTCTGAGCCTCTCTAATATACTTCTGGGGCATCTTGTTCCCTTGAATGATACTCCCAAAACTTGTGGTTGTTGGCCATTGAGAGTTCATTGTGTGAACTTGAGGCCTGAGTACCCCCTTCTCAGGCTGTAGACTGATGGTGATGAAGACCCAGGTGCTTGTCATCTGAGATTACAGCTTTAGCCATGCCCTGGGCTTTGAAGCATGACAGCCATGGTTCATTTCTGTGACCTTTTGGATGCATGATCCTTACCCAGTCTTGTGCTCATTTATTTTGCTATAGAAATTGGACACAAGCCTGGTGTGGTGACTCACACCTTTAATGCCAGCATTCAGGAGGCAAAGGCAGAGGCTGCCTCTTTTGAGCTCAGGGTCAACCTGGCCTATGTAATAAAGCAAGTTCCAGGGAAGCTGGGTCTATATAGTGAGACTATAAATAAAGAAAAAAGTTGGACACGGTCTCTGCTTTGTAAATGCAGGAGCATATGCTAGAGCCAGGGCAGTTAAGGTAATCAAAGAAGGAGGTATCCAGAAAGGATAAAGGGTTTTAGTCAGCAGAGAATCAGGGCTTTTGGATTCACATTGATCTTCTGACATCCCATCTTCTGGTGACAGCTTTCTTGCCTTTGCTTGTTAGGGGGTGAGAAAGGACTTGTGCTTTTTAAGCATTTTGGATGGGCTCCATAGTGGAGCAGTCAGTCCTGCACTGGTGGCCCTTGGCACAAAGAGCTATGGCTCTCCACAGCAAAGTATGACCTGGACCAGTGTGGTTCAGAAGCTGGGCAGGCTCCAGGGCATGGGCTTTGCCTGCCATCAAGGCTCTGGGAAGGTGCTTTGCTTGGGGTGCTGCAGCTCAGCAGCACTGGAACAGAGGTGTTGTCTTGTCCTGGATACATGCAGCCCCTAACTCTGTCCTCTTTCTAGCTGGCTGTGTTTTGGTGCTGAGCAGGAACTTCGTGCAGTACGCCTGCTTTGGGCTGTTTGGAATCATCGCACTGCAGGTACACAGACACCTAGTGCTTCTCTTGTTAAGTACATGGGTTGTGGGGTAGGTCTCACTTTGCTTTGCTTTGGTGGAGCTATATATTGTGTCTGGTATCTTCCCCCTTCATCTTATCCCTCCTGTGTATCTGGCTGTCCAGAGCTGCTTTTCCTTTTGGAGAAGTGACTAGTCTTCCCTCCTAGGTAGGGTTTAGGAGCAGATAGCCCCAAACAGATGTTAGCCATAGGTACTAGGCCATCATTCCCTTTTTCCTCAACTTCTGTGACAGAGACATAGGCCACAGATTGACTGCAGCTATATATAAACTGGGAGTCACTGCATTTGACAGATAAGAATACCTAATTAGCCAGAATGGCATGCTTAAGCAGGATAGTTCAGCCTATACTTGCAGATGCTTTGTGTTCTAGGACATTATAGTACAACTTTGTTAGTCAAACAGGTCCAGAGGCTACACTGTGCTCTGTTAGAAATTCTGAGCTAAACTGTCCCAATGATCTGCCCTCAGTGTCTTAATAGTTTGTGTATTTTATGTTCTTATCCCATTGGATGATCCTACCTCATACTGCTATGAAATCTATAGACATTAGTGTGAAAATGCTAATTCAATTTTCTCTCTGTTCCTTCAGACAATTGCCTACAGCATTTTGTGGGACTTGAAGTTTCTCATGAGGTAGGTGCATTTTGGGTGGCAAAATAGAGTACTTGGCCCTCTCACTGGAGCACCTGTAGGCTAGTGCCACCTTCCTTCCGTAGTTCCCACTGTGCCTCTGAGAATAAGGGTTTCAATGGGCACAGCAGGCCTTTACCCTGCAGCTGGAATCCTGGCTTGATAGTGAGGATTCTTGATGTCTAGCCCCATATCGCATGGGTGTGTAGACTGAGGGTTTGAGTAGAAGTGAGTAGAGACCAAAGCAAGATTCCATGTTTATACAGGTTTAACTTGAAGCTGGTCCTTTGTATTCAGCCTGTCCTTGTCCCATTGAGTGGTGGTTTGTTTTAAAGAAAGGAAGGGTGGACTTTGGTGTGCTCTGGCTTGGTAGATAATACGCTTGGTAAATGTAGGTGACATTTCTGTTCCTCAGGAACCTGGCTTTAGGAGGAGGTTTGCTGCTGCTCTTGGCAGAGTCCCGCTCAGAAGGGAAGAGCATGTTTGCTGGTGTTCCCACCATGCGTGAGAGCTCCCCCAAGCAGTACATGCAGCTTGGAGGAAGGGTCCTGCTGGTCCTGATGTTCATGACCCTCCTTCACTTTGATGCCAGCTTCTTTTCTGTGAGTACTCTGAACCATGTGCTGCCTGTTGGCACAGCTGTACCTGAGCACAGCCTGAGGACATGAGTCCATGCTTGTAAACGAGCCTGCCCAGCTCTGCTAGGGAAAGGCCAGTGCCCTCTCTGCAGACTCCTAACTACTCTACTTCAGAGTTCAATTCACACTGTTGGCCAATACATTCTGATTTTATCTGTCACACATTAGAAGTTAGCATTGTTGGAGGCAGGGAAGGAGTGCTTTCCAGCATGGGTTTCTAGGTGGGTGTAGATGAAATGAGCTCTCAGAGTTATGGTGTAGAGACCAGGGGAGCACTTCAGCTGTTAATTCATCTTTCCCAAATAGTCTACACTGAAATATGGTGCCTGGGGGCTGAGAGATGGCTCATTGGCAAAGAGTGGTTTTTCTGTGATCAGTTAGGACCAGAATTCAAATCTTAGCACAAGAGTAGCTATCTGGCGTCTAACAAATGCCTGTAATCTGACCTTTTAGGAGAGCAGAGGCAGGATTGTTCAGATTGCTGCTTCCCGTAGCTGAGATGAGCTCTAGGTTCAGAGAGAGACCCTTCAAAAAGAATAGAAGATATCCAGCACCCTCTCCTGGCTTCCACCCTCCTCCACATATGCATATACTCAAACACAAATACAGACAAATCTTTCTCTCTCTGTCTCTGTCTCTCTTTTAATGTTGCTTGGCCAGTGTGTCACAGACCTAAAATCCTAGTGCCTGGGATACAGAGGCAAGAGGTTTATAAGTTCAAGGCTAGTTGGGGTTACATAGAGAGACCCTGAAAAACTATCTTTCATTCTCTACCACATGGCCAAAGAACTTCTCACATGTCCTCACATTTTCCTTGTTAAAAATTCAGTCTTTGCACCCTTATTTTACTGTAAACAATCAGGATCAAAAGCAGCCACATAACAACCTGAATGCTTTGCTACTGTAGGTTTCTTCTGCCAGATATAAGTTCTGTATTCTGTAAGGTCCTAGGCGTGGACACAATGCAGCAGAATTCACTGCAGCTTATTTCATGATCAGCATCATTATTCTAGATTTTCAAGACAAGTTTTCTCTCTGTAACCCTGGGTGGCTTGCTGGCCTGGAACTCAGAGATCCACCTGCTTCTGCCTCCTTAGAGCTGGAATTAAACGTGTGCGCCACAACACTCGACCTAGTTTTGTTGTTGTTTTGTTTTTTAAGAGACAGGGTTTCTCTGTATAGCCCTGGCTTCTTGGAATGCTCTTTGTAGACCAGGCTGGCCTTGAACTCACAGAGATCAGCCTGCCTCTGCCTCCCAAGTGCTGGGATTAATGGCATGCACCACAACTGCCTAACGCATTGCAGTTTTCTAACAAGAATGGCTTTTCCTCTGTTTTACAAACCCTTGTTTCATGTTTACTGTTCTACATGTGCTGCAACAGGATGCTCGCCAAGACCATTGAACACTACCAGTGACATTCCGGTCTTTCTTTTGTCTTAGCTCTTCCCGGAGTTGCTGTCACTACTCCATTCATTTCAATATGGTTTTCTAAATGTCTCCAATTTCTGATCATTACCCTGTTCTACAGTCAGGTGCTACTTTAGCAACAACCTCACTTCTTGATACCAATTTTCTTAGTTCATTTTCTGTTGCTGTAACTGAATACCACAGAAGGAGCACTTTATAGAGAATGATGCTTATTTAGCTTAGGGCTCGGGTGGCAGGGAGACCCAAGGTGAAGAGGTCACATCTGGTAAGGGTCTTGTGGTTAAGAACTCTGTAGAGTACTGAGGGAATACAGGGTATCACATGATGAGGAACAAGCCTTCATTCACAGCCTAGTTACTCACCAAAGTTCTAGCAGGCAAACATCACTGATAGGATTTGGGGAATTTTCCAGCACATGGTATTTGGGGAGTACACGTAAAGCCAAAGCATCTTTAATAGAGATTTTTTTTTTCCTGGAAATTAGTATTGATACCCCCACATGCAAAAAAAAAAAGTTTTCCGGCTTGTGTGCTCCCTCTGCCTATACAGTCTTCAGCTCTCATCCTGCCCTGGTGAGAGCTATATGAGCCTAGCTCAGATACAAGTGTTCACAGCTTTTTCCTGACCTTTAGCCTGAATGTTTTTTCTTTGAATCTGTGCAGATCGTCCAGAACATTGTGGGCACAGCTCTGATGATCTTAGTAGCCATTGGTTTTAAAACCAAGCTGGCAGCTTTGACTCTCGTCGTCTGGCTGTTTGCCATCAACGTGTATTTCAACGCCTTCTGGACAATCCCGGTCTATAAACCCATGCATGACTTCCTGAAGTATGACTTCTTCCAGACCATGTCAGTGATTGGAGGCCTGCTCCTGGTGGTGGCTCTTGGCCCAGGGGGTGTCTCCATGGATGAGAAGAAGAAAGAGTGGTAACAGACAGATCCCTTCCCTCCCTGGCTGAGGCACAAGGCCCTGGACTGGTTCAGGGTAGTCAACAAACTGCCAGCGTTTATGTGTCCTCTTCCCTTCCCTTCCCTTGGTAAAGGCACAGATGTTTTGAGAACTTTATTTGCAGACACCTGAAAACTGAAGGTAAAATCTGCTTTGAAAACAGTCTGGAGTCTAACTATCCAGGGCTGGGCAGCTGGATGGTCATTCCTTAGCCAAGGCTTCAAGTAGACAGTGTGGTGGGCTATGGCCTCAATCCTGTCTTTGAGTTTCTTTTGAGGGATGAGGGCCTTCAAGTTGTACTGAGCTATACTTTATCATTCAAAGCAGTTTCCCTTTTAGTTTTAAGTTTACATCCTTAGTTCAAACTACTAAATGACTTAGGATGGTCCAGCCAAACACCAAACAGTTGAAACCTCCAGTTCAGAATCCTACCAGTGGCCCAGCATTGCTTCTGCCCCTATATTTTATAGGATCAGTGAAGATGTTAGAGAAACCCCAAGCCTAGAGAACATAAAGTATTAGAGAGGTGGCTGCTACTGCTGGCCCAAGTCCTTGGTGTCAGCTGGCTGAATGCTGTTTCCTGGGTCAAAGGTACCTACCCTGGCTCCAAGCAGGGATGGGATGGGTCAGGGGCAGGAAGTTCTTGGAAAGCTGCTGGTTTAGGTACTGCTATCCCCTCCAGCTTGGTGGTGGGAAGGGCAGGAGATCCAACTGCTCACAGGATGGCCCACCATGGAACCAGCTTGGGGAGCAGTAATGCCATGGGGCCCAGAGGTGAGGAGCCCCAGTACTGAAGACACCCAGGCTCAACCCAGTTACCTCACACTTGATCTTCTCAGAGCAAGGCCTGGACCCCACAGACCATGCTCCCCCCAGCTTAACTCCTTGTTCCAGGCTGAGTTTACCCCATTGACAGCCCTGATGCCACCATTTCCCTGAGGCTGTTGCTTGCTCAGATTTTTGTCAACTTGCTCTGCTGGATGCAGCCAAGATACTTTTTACAATTTGTGATGCCTTACCAATTTGATCTCAGTCCTGTATTTAAAGTTTTCTAACATTGCCTTACACCGTGTTTCTCTTTTTGGGGGGTGGGGAAGCTGTCTAATGCTGTGGTCCTGCTCATCTGTATGGTAGTGCCATGAGGGTGGTTGGGCTCCTCCTCCACCTTCCCCAGATCTGTTGGAGGAGACAGGTAGACAGGCTTAGAACCCCTGGAGAGGAGCTGGCAGCTCACTCACCCTTAGGTGCAGAGTCCTAGAGGTGTCCTCCTTTCTGGCATCAGCTGGGGAGGCAGGACTGTGTCCTCTTGAGTCACTTTGGGTCAGTCCTGCCTCTTCCCCTTGCCTCACGGGCTCTGCAGTCTGAATTTACCTTCTCAACACCCAGCCCGTGTTCTGCAGCCTTACAGCTGGCCTACTCCTCCCTGTGTGAGTTCTAGCAGTGGCTCACGCCATGACATTTCCTTACTACCAAGTCCCTTGACAAGCAGAGCTGACTCAGTGTACACCCACCTGCTCCGTTACCTGCAGTGGCAGCCCCATAATATTCCAGTTTGTGGAATGGGCAGACCCTAGGAGGCAAATGCATGCCTCTCAGCAGCGGCCCCCATCCCAAGGATACCCTGGCCCATCTACCAGCTTTCTGTGGGCTGTGCCTGGGATGGGAAAAGAAAAAAAAAGATCTACACATTGGTTTGGCAAAACAGTTTCTGAAAATGCTTTAGCTTTATGTGGGAATAGGTATAAACCTCATTTTTATGCTGTATTTTATATCTTAGTTGTGTTTGAAAATGTTTTGATCTTTGGAAACATCAAAATAAATAATGGCATTTGTGGTATATAGTGTGATCCTATGTGGTGACCAGCCAGGGTGCGAGCCTGGCAAAGTCAGGATGCTATAGTAAGTCACTGAAGACCACAGAAAAGCCATGCACGGAGAGGAATCTTCAAATCCCTGCTGCTGTCACCTTCTGAACAGAACCTCCAGGCCCATTCTGGGCAACAGCCAATATCAGGACATCAACGGCCAGTTCCAAGAACACTCAAAGGCTTTCTCTGCACATTTCATTTTCCCAGCTGCTTAAAGGAAGAACTGAAGTTCTTGGGCTTGTGATGATGGCTCTTGAACTTCTTGGTCAACGAGGTGAACTGCTTCTGTGAAAGCAGAAAATAGTGACCAGGGTCTTTGCAAGTCCACAGGGAAGGCACTGTGTGTCTAAGGCTGAAAAGCAGTCTGCGTTCTTGACAGTTTTCCCTTTTATGCTGGGTCAGTGTGTGGCCAAGGAGTCACTCCAGACATTGTCCACCCGGCTTCTTTAACAGAATCCTCATTCCTGTCACTTAGAGAAGTGGTGCCCAGCAGCTAAGTTCTTAGTCCTGTGTTGTAGGGCACCCAGCTCAGAGCTGAGAAGCCATTGGTTAGGACCTGCTCCTGGAGACCTTCTGAAGTGGCCTCGGCTTCCATATTTATAGGCTGTACATTGACAGTGCACTACTTGCAGAATTTGTTAAAACCATGGGGAGCACTAGCTGTCCAGCCTCACTCGGCCTGGGCTGTGTAGCCCTCCTGACCTCAGCACTGTGTGGCACACACTCACCTTTCTGAGTTTACGGCTCCTCTTGTGGTCCACTTTGACCTCTCTCCTCTCCCCAGTGCCCTTCTCTCTCGACTGCTTTGGCTTCTCTTCCTCTTGGTCTGTCAGAAAGTCTTCAGTAGTGTCGTTCTCAGGCTTGCCCAGATCTTTTTTTGTGAACAGCTCAGCTGGAAGGAGCAAACAACCTGGCTGAGCTACGCCACAGGTAAAAGCATCGCTTTCCTGGGAAACCTGGCTAACAGAGTAGGACCACAAGATACCTAGCAGGAGGCGAACAGGAGGGCAGGAATCGGGCTGTGCCTACTTACGTGGGTATAGGTCTGTCATGCTGTCATCACTCAGGGATCCTCCCTCGTCACTGGAAGCTGGCTCCCAGAAAGCTGTTCTCTGGCCAGGTAGCCCATCTCCATCCATGTGGTCCTCCCTCTTCCTCTTCTTGTGCAATAGGCAGACAGGGACATATTCCACACCTTGTTTCTGACACTCCTCATCTAAGAGACCAGCAAGGTTACTTACACCGGTGTTCTCTTGGTACAGAGCTAAGCTATGGGCTGTATTATGGCAGTGTTTTATTATTCCTCTACCCTACTGGACATGCATGGACAACCTGGAGGCTCTGGACCTCAGGGGAAGCTGCCTGATCTTATCCTGAGTCTGACTATGGAAGGCCTTGCTAGGGTTACCACTGCTGTCCTCAGATACTAAGGAGGCATAGCTTCTTGGGCTTCCCACTTGGTCCAGAACCATCTCCCTGGGTGGGGGACACCAGCTCTAGCCATCATTGATCTTGGGGTGACAGTCTAACTGGGACCTGGCATCTCTAGGGTCTTCCTCCCACTTCATCTCTGCCATCTGCTCCCAGGACCACTATGGTCTCCTCATGAGTACCAGCACAAGGTCGTCTCCCAGTGTCCTCAGCAGGCCACCACTATGAAGTGGTCTCACTGCCTTCTGGCTCCACCTCAGCTCTTTGGTATAGCTTTATAATTCTCTCTCTTATGGGGGATCCCTGCCCAGCACCTCCCTGTTACAACCCAGCAGATGACAAAGCTAACAAGGGCACATCCAAGCCGTAGCTCCAAGATATGTGGGAAGATCTGGTTGTGCTGCACAGGACACGTCTGCCCGATGGCCAAGAAAGAGGTAGTGCCATCCCTGAAGCCTTCCACTTATCCCCAGCTTCTGCATCCCCCCTACCTCCCCAGCCCTCCTTGCCAAGGCCTGACTCTGCCCGTAGCCTCCAAATGACCTAATCTCAATCACTTTCTCACCCTCATCGCCCTGTGGTGGCATGGGAGACCTTCCTTCACGTCTCTAGTCCTCAAGCCGGCCTCATCTCAAGTCTCCTGGCCTGGCACCATCCTCCCGCCCTAACCCTCCTGGAGGTTAAAATACCACAAGAGTCCACACTCTCAACCACTTGGGATGTCTTCCCACCCCTGGCTGCACCCATCAAACACTAGAGGTCTGTCTGCAAGTCCCTCATCCTCTGCAGCCTAGAGGGCTGTTTGTCCAGGTCTTGACAACAGTCCCCAAGGCTCTCCTGCAGTATCAGATGAATGGATCCTGGAGTTCTGGCACTGCAGCCTCAGCCTGCTGTGCAGCAGCAGGCCTCCATACCACTCACCACAACTCCTTCCCAGCCCACTTCCAGCTTTACAGTGGTGAGGTCAGGAGCCACTACCCTCTCACATGCAAGACCAACCAAGTATAGCAACAGTGGACAATAAAGGAGGATCAAGGCACCTTTCTGGTTGGGGGCAGGGGACATGCATCCTCAAGTGGTGACTTACATTGATGAAGTGCTCTCTGATACCTCCGGCCCTGGACATGCCTCAGCACATGCTCTGGGGACTTGTTGATGTGCCTCAGGGTGAGTTTGCAGAACAATTGGTGCCTACAGAGCAAACAGAGGGGTATGGGGTAACAGTGTATACCAAGGACCAGACCTGTGGGCTCCACCATGACTGCAAGCTGCAAACACCTGAAGTTTTCCTGGGGGATGCTCTGCATTTAGTGTCAGTGTCTGGACTTTGAAAAGCTCCCCAACCACAGGGCATGGCAGTCTATAATCCCAGCACTCAGGAGGCAGAGAGGCAGGCTGATATGAGTTGAGGTCAGCCTGGTCTACATAGCTTCCAGATCAAGCTACACAGTCTTACTTTCGAAAACAGCTTCCCAAACAATTCCACTCAGCATCTGGGATTAAGAACCTAGATTGTCACCCAAGAAAAAAAGCGGCTCTAGGGTGCATGTATGGGGAAATGGCTCAGGAAGTCCCATGTGAGGATATATCAGCCACACAACCATAGGGTCCCCAAACGGTGAAAGTGGCACTGTCCAGCCTGGCCTCGGGTAACTATGCAAGGGGAAGTGTCAGTAGAAGACCATTATATATTCAGAGCAGGGGAACAGGCTCTGCACCCAAGCGCTGGCCGGCCACCTACGTACGGATTCTTTGTGCTGGGCACGATGTGTGGCTCGAACGCTGTGTAATCGAAGGCCGGGGAGGCTCTGGACAACCGCTGGTATTTCTTGCCGCTGGTGTAGACCTGAAGCTCCGGCAGACGGCAGGGTAGCTCATGGCCGGTTAGAGAGCAGCGCACCTGTGGATGGACCGCCTGTCCACAAGTGGTTCTTGCCAGCCACGCCCCTCCCCTCCCCTGCACTGTCCTCCGGGTCCCACTGCTTTCCAGGCACAGTACTCCCGGGTCCCACTCCTCCCCGGCACGGTCCTTCCGGGTCTCACTCCTCCGGAGTCCCGTTCCTTCCTGGTCCCCGGCACGGTTCTCCTCGGACCTTGTGAGTATTCGGCAGCAGCCTCAGGTTGGGGTGCTGGCGCAGGAAAGCCCGCACATCAGCCGGTAGTTCGTCCATGATCGGAGATGCCCCTCTGACGCCGCTGCCACCACGTGGGTCAGAGCGCCGTCCCGTCCCGGAAGCAGATTTCTCAGTCCCGGAAGTGTTCAAAGATGGCGGCGGTGAAGGCTTTCTCTATGCTGCGGCAGCGCTTGACGCGGTGGCCCCAATGGTCCTGCGCGCGGCTGGTGAGCGCGGGGGCGGGAGGATCGAGCCTGGAGTGGAATGGGGCCGAAGAGGACCCTTCCCAAGAGGGCTTTGCCTGGGGTGGAGCAGGGCCAGGGGTGGACCGTGCCTAAGAGGCTCTAGCCTGGGGTGGTGCTGGGTCGGGAAGGACCCTGTTCAGTACCTAGCCCAGGTGCACGCGTTTGGCGTCCCTGAGGTCCCTGAGCTTAGAGCCCCGCGGCCTGTTCGGTCCCCGCAGGCCCCGCTCCCCGTTTCCAGAAGGAGCATCCTCGGGCTTTCTTTCCGCTCAGGTGAGAAGGGCTCAGACCTGGGTGCGGTTGGACACCTGTCTCCATTCAGCCCGCCGTGGTCTACTGGGAGCGGATTGGATGCCCCTTTCCCTACATCCTCTGTGGGCATAACCTAAGTCTTCTCGAGGAATTGGCCACCCAGTTCTGTTTGTTCTAGGCCTTCTGACCTCATGCCAGTATTGTAAAACTCCCTCCAGGGATGGTGTGGAGACCAAGCAGGTGCTACAGTTCTACTGCTGAAGCAGCCGCAGCTAAAGCAGAGGACGACTCTTTTCTCCAGTGGTTCCTGCTTCTCATCCCTGCTACTGCTTTTGGCCTGGGGACTTGGCAGGTGAAGACTGGGGTCTAATTTGGGTATCTCTGAGCCTTGGACCCTACTGATGTTTGCTTAGCTTATGTTGTTTCTGTAGGTCCAGCGTCGGAAATGGAAGCTGAAACTGATTGCAGAATTAGAGTCTCGAGTCATGGCTGAGCCCATTCCTCTGCCTGCCGAGTGAGTGTGGCTGCCCACCCAGTCAATCCCACATAGGAGCAGCGTGGGGACCTGGCTTCTGTTTGGTGTCTTCTCAGTAATTTCTGCCCTTTGGCAGGGTCCTCAAAATTTCCCACCAGACTGGCTGCTGATTGCCTTTATGAAACTGCCAAAGAGCATGGAACATAAATAGGAGGGATGTATTTTTGATGCCAGATTTCCCTTTTCAGGTCTTTTAAGGATCCCCCATGGTGGTGAGTTCCTTGTAGCGTTGGTGGGTGTTAAGTAGGTCTCACTATGAAGGTGACATTTTTTAAAGTGTCCTCTAATTTATTGTACTGCCCTCTCGAATTTGAAAGTTCTGTCCCAGAGAGATGTACAAGGCTTAGGTACAGGTTACAAAATAGGTAACAGGTGAAGTTTGACTCAATCCATACTTTCCTTGCAGATCCACGTTCTCATATGGCATCAGAAACTGGTGCTGAGATCACCCCTATGGAGGACACAACTTGTAATCTGATGATCCTCACTGGGCCTTTCTTACCCTTTCTGCCTGGTGGGGCTTGGTAGCTTTGCCAACATTCTTATAAGACACGCCTGGCTTGCCCACAGCCCTTCTTCTGCTTCTCCTTGTAGCCCAATGGAACTGAAAAACCTGGAGTACAGGCCAGTGAAGGTTAGGGGGCACTTTGACCACTCCAAAGAGCTGTACATGATGCCTCGGACCAAGGTGGACCCTGCTCGAGAGGCCCGTGATGCTGGCCGAATCTCCTCCTCAATGGAAAGTGGAGCCTATGTAGTTACTCCTTTCCACTGCTCTGACCTAGGGTGAGTAGGCTATGGCCTGGCAGCTTCCCTCACCATGCTCAACCAACCTTCAGACCCTGGGGAGTCCATGAGATTCAACCAATACGGCCAGATCATTTCCAAGATCTCCAATTCTGACATTAAGCAACTTTCTTAGCCAGTTCATTGATAGGGCTTGAGTCATTGAGGCTTAGTGTTGGACTGATCCACAGAACAAGCAATTCTGTCAAACTGTCTGTACACGTTGCAGTGACCATTAGTGATGATCTGTACTGGAACCCTTCTTCACCCAAAGGAACACTTTTATTGTTTCAGAGTTACCATCCTGGTTAACAGAGGGTTTGTTCCCAAGAAGAAAGTGAATCCTGAGACCAGACAGAAAGGCCAGGTAGGGCTTTTCAGCTTGGGGTATTACAGTAAATTACCCATTGTCCATGTAGGACTTCTGTAAGATGCAATCTCACCCTTTTTAGGTTCTTGGAGAAGTAGACCTAGTTGGCATAGTGAGGCTGACAGAAACCAGGAAGCCCTTTGTCCCTGAGAACAGCCCGGAACAGAATCACTGGCATTATCGGGACCTGGAAGCTATGGCCAAGATAACAGGCGCAGACCCCATTTTCATTGATGCGGACTTCAGTACGTTGTGGCAGCCTGGACCCTCCCACTTCCCCTTCTTTCTTTGGCACCTACAGTTTGGTATGGGGCAGAGGAACACCCAATTGGCTTTTAGTAAGGAACCGACAGTAAACTGGGAACTTATCACACAAAAAACGATAGTGCTGAGGAGCCCCACTAGAGGTGGGCATTAAGTTCTATTGTCTCTGCAGAGAGTACAATCCCTGGAGGACCTATTGGAGGGCAGACAAGAGTCACTCTTCGGAATGAGCACATGCAGTACATCATTACCTGGTTAGTCCTCCTTCTGTATCGTTACATACCCCACACTGTATGAACAGACAACTAAATTTCTTTCAATCACAGGTATGGACTGTGTGCAGCCACATCATACTTGTGGTTTCAAAAATTTGTGCGGCGGACACCAGGTATATGAAGTTAACAAACCTGTTCCTATAAAATAAAGGTTTTTTTTAAACCCTGGCTTGTTTTCAAGACATTTTAAGCACGTGCTTACATCAACCCAAATAACCAGACCATTAGATGGAAGGTTTGTAATTATATTTATGTACAGAAAACTCAGCAGTACATTTAACCCAGTTTAGTGGCGAGTTCTTTGGCCTTTGCCTTTTCCAGCTTGGCAATCCGAGCCACAGATTTAGGACCCAGGACGTTGCCTCCCCAGTGGCGGCGGATCTGAAATACAGACACAACAAGTCAGTTTGGCCTGATAGCCTATCCTCTAACACACGCATGCATCAGCTAACATGCTATATTCACTCAAATCCAACTGCTAAAAGCACCGACCCAACGAATCTCATGCTCTGTATAGAGCTGCTCACCTCATCATATCTGTCGTTGTAATTGGTCCTAATAGCTTCCACCAGCTTGGCCAGAGCACCCTTATCTTCCCTGGCAAGGAAGGGAGAAAGGCCTTGTTACTCTTTAGGATGCAGACACAGGGATAATTTTTCTGATACAAGCATCTTTTTTTTTTCTTTTGCCTCAGACACATAATGACCACACGGCTGATTCAGGTGAAGAAATTCTTAACCATCATTGGCAAATGGTCCAAAACGTGGGAGGGCAAGGGTAGCTTAAGGACAAGCCTGAATACTCACGAGTTAACCTGTGTGAAGGCAACAGTGGTGCACGTCTTCCTATGGACTAGCCGTCCCAGCCTGGCCTTTCCCTTGATGATGCAGTAGGGGACCCCCATCTTCCGACACAGGGCAGGCAGAAAGACCACCAGCTAGAAGCAAGGATGAACTGTAGGCACTTGGGAGCAGAAGCAGTAGCCATCCTGCTACTTCGTGGCAAATGCTCAGGGTTAAAAAGCTCATGTAATTGCACATCAAAGCATTTCAGTCAAAGATTCACATCACTGCAAGAGCCACACAAATGGATTCCTTATCTTCAACTCACAAAACCAACCCCACCCCCACAGGACCCTGGTAGTACTGCGCTGGATGCTTGACCCACCAGACCTACCTCAATGGGGTCTACGTCGTGGGCAATCACCACCAGTTGAGCCTTCTTGTTCTCTACCAAAGTGGTGACTGTATTGACGCCTGGAACACACAACATACACTTTTCCTGAGTGCTTGCTTGGGGTTGCTAGAGTCACAGAAGAAGTCCCACGAGCTGTGACTCAGGGTTAAAAAGCTCGATTTCACTCTTCATCGTGCTTTCAGGTGAAGAAATTCACACATCATCGCACAGCCTGCCCCTACCGCCCCTCCTTTCCCAGGGGTTCACTTACCGGCTCGAAGGACAGGTGGTCTCTTAGTCGGGACATCTCCTTTGCCAGCAGCTTTCTTCTCAGCACGGGCCAGCAGCCTTTGCTTCTTCTCCTGCTTTGTCTCTGGCCTGTACTTGTGGGCAAGTTTAAGCAACTGGGTAGCTGGGAAAACATTTCGGAGTTAGACTAGAGGCTTGAGTCTTTAAGCCTGCTATGAAGCTTCCTGAGTGCTGTGGTCATGTGGGGGGCACAGTCACATGCTCAGGCCCAATTCTAACCTCTGTCCCTTAGAAGGCATTTTACATACAGGCCTTGTGGAGGGTCTCTGAACCCTTGTACAACTGTGGCATAAAAGACCTAGACAGAAACCCCCTAACTCAGCCTCTAGGAAACGGGATTTCGAGTTCAATACCAGCCTGGGTCTACATTTTGAGCCCAGAACAATCAGGATTACAACAAGATCAAGAAACCCAAAGTACCCTAGTGTGCTATGTGCAGGTGAGAAGGCTACAGGTCAACCTTGGGCATTTTCCACAATAGCTTCCCCACCTTACTGAGCTTGAAGATAGCTGGCTGTCTCGGGTAGAGTGACTGGGGACCCTTTTCAACCCTCCCCAGCCACTGTATAAGGGCTCCGAGACTCCTCAGCCTTCATGCCCGCGCAACAAGCACCCTTTTCCTTCACTAACGTCTTAGTGTGATGACCACCATATAAATGACAAACTCAGGACCAATCTCATGCTCTGGGGACACGAAACTGGCCGTTTCAGAAACAGAACCTCACCTGTTTGCCGGTCCAGGGCCTGGGTGAACTGGTTAATGGCAGGAGGAACTTTGAGCCGCTTATAGAGGATGGCCCTCTGCCGCTGCAGCCTAATGTAGCGGGGCCATTTGACGAAGCGTGTGAGATCTCTCTTGGGCTGGATATCCTGCCCTGGGAAGTAAAGAGCGACACTACGAATCAGGAGCCATCGCCGTGCCGGGCTACTTCTGGGCGCTCAGGACGGTGGGAGCTGGTGCATCAGCGATCTTGGTGGTTATAATGTCATCACCGCTTTTCTGATAGCAAATATTCTTTTACATCATCTGCACACAACGCCACATCCCGCTCTAACCGGAAACCACGGCCTGACAGCAGGCACGGTAGCCGAAGTGCCCGCTTGGAAACGGAGCCCGGTTCCGGCCGGAGTAAACCCCAACCCCCAGGTCCCCTGCAGTCACCGCCGTGTCCTCGGGACAGCCCTCGCCCCACTTACCAATGCCAAAGTTCTTAGGCCTCTTCTCAAACAAAGGATTCACCACCTTCTTAGCCTCCTGCTTCTTTACGACGGCGGGGGCCGGGGCCACCTTCTTCCCCTTGGCCTTCTTTCCCTTGGGCTGAATACAAGAGAGAAAGCCCGTGAGGCTGTGTCCAACGTCGTCGCCATCCCATCGGGCGGCAGGCTCGTCCCCGAGCACCACTCGCCGCCGCTCCCTTTCAGCGCTGGGTTCCGAAGCGCCAAACGCGGCCGCGGACTCCGGGAGACGGCGGCGGGCGGCGGATGGAAGCGGATGAAGCTAAAGAACCCGAACACTCACCATCTTGCCGGGCTGGAGGAGAGAGAAAGAAAAAGGGGATTGTGGGTAATATGTAAGCAGCCCCGGAGATCGCGAGAGTTGGCGCCTGCGCGAGATTTCGGATTTAAAGCGACTGGATCATTTCGCACTCTGTCGGCGGAAGTAGGGCGGGAGCGGAGGCGGGGCCTGGGCGGAGCGTGCAGAACGACGACTGCGGGTTCACTGAGGAGTGCAGGACCGGGCAAGGTACTACAGGTCCCGAGTGGTTGGTTGTGCGAGTAGGGAACAAAAACCGCGCGCGGTAAGGGCCCGCGTTCGCGTAGGATGCTGATGTAGCGGAATCCCGCTCCCCACCCCCTCAGGCTCTGTTTGCTCGGTTCGGGTCTGACCGGACTGTGGCGGCTGCCACCCGGGTTTGCCATGGCCCAGCAGAGAGCCCTGCCCCAGAGCAAGGAGACGCTGCTACAGTCCTACAACAAGCGGCTCAAAGACGACATCAAGTCCATCATGGACAACTTCACAGAGATCATCAAGACCGCCAAGGTGTGTGGTCGCTGTTCCGAGGCCAAGGGAAGGCAGGAACTGGGGGCGTTCCCTGGGGTTTGGGTACATAAGTTTGGATACTGTTGAAGGGGTGGGGATGCATTGGAATGTGATCAGTTTGGTGCGGGTGTGGGCGACGAGGCGTCAAAAGTAAAGATCAGCAGGTGGATAGTAAAGCCAAATAATGACAGGCGTGGGTAGAGCAGAGTAGAGGGCTCTGGCCGAATTGCCAGGGCTCTGCTTTAATTACTGGGCACTGTTTCCCCATTGCTGTAGATTCTTGTGATGACTGATGAGTTTGCTCCTTTAATACAATTCCTCATTTTGTGGTGACCCCCAACCACAAAATTGTTTTCGTTGCTACTTAATAACTGTAATTTTGCAACTGTTATAATGAATCGCAGTGTTGTGAGCTGCTGCTCTATGTCTGAGATGCCTCAAGACCACTGAGGTCTGTGTCCGTCTCTAACTGGTCTAACTGTAAGCTGAAAAGTCACTTCCTGCCTGGGAATGTGCTTGTCTAGCAGTTACAAAGCCCTGTGTTCAATCCCTAGCACTGGATAAACTAGATGTTGGCACAGCTCTTTACTGTCAGGATTTAGGAAGCGGAGGCAGGAGGATCAGAAGTTCAGGCCAGCCTGAGTTACATGAGACCCAGCCTTAAAAACAAAAGATAATAATAATAATAAGTCTTTTTACTTCTTTATTGAACATCTTATTTTATGTAAACTTTCTCAAAGAAGACTTGGCAGTGTTCTTTTGATGTGATGAAGTCACCTACTGTCACCCACAGAACAAGAGAGGGTTGGAGTGGACATTGCCAGCTGTCTAGATAGGAAGTAGGGTTCTGGGTATGCAGGAAGGCCTGATAGACAGACTGAGGTGCTGGCTCTTGGAGTGGTGGTGGTGGCTGTTAGCTGTTGGGTTCCTGTCAACCCGGCTAAGCCAGGTGACTGCCTGTGCTGATTCTAAACTTTTTTATTTGTCCCCAGATTGAGGATGAGACACAGGTGTCACGGGCCACTCAGGGTGAACAAGACAATTACGAGATGCATGTGCGAGCTGCCAACATTGTGAGTGGCCAGGGTGGAAAACACCCCTGTAGGAGTCCCCGATGGAACGAAGGAAAATGAGACACAATGGGGCGGGGCAGAGGAAGTTGCCTCTAGTGGGTACTGCGGTGGGTGGGTGGGTGCAATAGACATATGGCCTTGTCCATCCTGTATAGTAGTCAAGAGAAAGGCAGCCATTCTTGCTGACAAAGGTTCCCCAAGGCTGGTTGTGACTGGAAAGGCAAATGGCCTTTTGGCATATGTGAAATGGCGTATGTGAAGTGTGAGCCCCTCTTGATGTTCCAGGGAAAGCCCAATAGGCCAGTGTCTGTGCAGTGGGTACCAGCAAATGACACTGTGTGGGGCAAAGACCCCAGTGAATTCTGCCCAACTTGCAGTTGTGCCATCTCTGGGAAGGAATGGGTCAGAAGGAACCCCCAGGGCATGGTCTTCTGTTGACTTTGAGTTGAGTGCATGGGATATGTTCACGGTTGGGGCCGGAAAGTTCCTTGAAGTGAGCAAACTTTTCCCACCTGTGGTCAGGGTGGGTTCTGATCTTGCCTTCCCAGCTCTCCTCTGTCCTCACAGATGACTCTGTGCAGGCTATGACTCTCTGCTGATCACGAAGTTGAGACTTGCAGAAACCCCCCTGTTGGCCCAGCACCAGTTACACAGGGCAGGGCCACCATCTCCACCTCCTCTCATATTTATCCTGATTATAATGGTGGCAGGTCCGAGCTGGTGAGTCACTGATGAAGTTGGTATCTGATCTCAAGCAGTTCCTGATCCTCAATGACTTCCCGTCTGTGAATGAAGCCATTGACCAGCGTAACCAGCAGCTGCGTGCCCTGCAGGAAGAATGTGACCGCAAGCTCATCACCTTGCGGGACGAGGTCTCCATCGACCTCTATGAGCTGGAGGAGGAGTACTACTCGTCCAGGTACAAATAGGGCTGGACTCACATGCAGGTGGTACCTGCTGCCTCCCCAGGCTAACTAGGGCCTTCAAGGGCCTTGTGTTTTTCCAAGTCCTCCTTGGCAGCAGAGCCCCTGACTAGAGCATTTGATGGACAGACAGTCACAGCCGGCCACCAGCTGGTGCCCAGGCCTTCCCCTCAATGAAGTGGGGTGAAAAATCACAGGACTTGGTGTCGAGGCCAGAGAAGGGCATCCCCAGGGGGCGAGGAAGTCCTCCTGGGCAGTTCAGTCTGCCTTACTGCTCTAAATCTCTGTCTTGACACTTCAGCCAAGGCTGGATTGGCCCCTTGTGGCCTCCTGGGTCTATAACTCTGTCCACTCCCTGGGACATCACTGCCTACTGCTTGCCCAGAGATTCAGTTCTATGCAGATGTCATCAAATTCTACAGTGTAGAGGTGGGGAACACTGGGAAGGAGGAGGAAGGAGTTCAAGCAGAGTGGCTCTGAGAACTGTACTTGGATACTTGGATGTCCTGTTTCTGGTCAGCTTGGCCTTATGGGGCTGGAGCTTCCTGGTGTCAGACCTAGGATAGTGTAGGTAGGATCTGTCACCTAGTCCTCTATAGGCCACTTGAATCCTGACAGTTTCTGAGCCGGAGAAGCCCTGAGAAATTAAGAGTACAATGTGAAATATGTGGGAAACTGAGGCTGGAGAATGGAGGCCTGGCTCACATCCCCTCAGCTTGAAATTTAGGTTCCGTCCAGCAGCACCCTCTCCCGGGCAAACCTGGCTTCCCCTGGCAGTAGATTTGGGCTCCTGCTGCACAGAAGCTGCAGTGGATGTCCAGAGCTGGGTAATATGTGATCTAGGGCTTGTTTTTCCCGTCCTAGTCTTTGGGGTCACTGCCAAGCTGGAGCAGTTTTAAAGTTTTCTAGAGAGTTCTAGGGCTATCCTTGATCCCAATATTCATCAGCTTAGCAAATAAATGGGACCATCTCCTCTACCCCCACTCACCAGGATGAATTCTTCCTGTCGCTACCCTTTAGACAGTTACTGCTTCAAGGGCCCTGTGTGGATCAGTCGTGGGGCAGTGACTTAACTCTGCTATAGGAGTTGATGGAGGAGGGGATGAAATTGCTTAAGACAGAAACCCAGTGTGCCAGGTTTCTAAAGCCTCAGTCTCTGCATGGGTTTCTGAGACAACCAGTGTTCCCTTTGGACAGTCACCTTTTTCATATTCCTCATGATACGGCAGCTGCCCCTCTGCCTATGAATTACTTTAAGTGGTAGGGCTCTTCTGTGCAGGGTCAGTGGGTTTCATCTGTACGTCCACACCACCACCAGCTGCCCAGCTTCCCTTCTGCACAGCTACTCCCGCCTATATCCTCACTGCTTGCTGATTCTGACTTTGCCTCCCCTCCACTCTCCTGGGATGCTACTCTTTTGGGCAGTTCAGAGAGGGACTGTTGGGGGCAGGTATGTGGCTAGGGCCTTGTGCATATTAGAAAGCTGCAGAAACAGATGTGATCTAGGTAACCTGCCATGACTGCTGAGGCTTAATCCTTGCCTCTTTCCACCTCTGGTCTTCCCTGTGTAGCATGGGAAGATGGAATGTGTGAAACGGTGGAGCTCGAAGCTGTAGGGCTGGAGCAGTGGTGTGTAGAGAAATGGACCTCTGTTCCTGACTTTTTAATTAGGCCCATTCCCTGATAGGAACAGACAGGTCTCTGCCATGTTGAGCCCTTTGTAAAGTCTTATCACTGCCATACTGTTAATGGGTGGGCAGTCATGATAGGAGGAGACCCACAGGGACAGGGGGAGTCCTAAGTGTCAGGAAGGACATGTGGTCCATGGGGAGAGCTTGCCTAAGTCACTCGGCCTGTTGATGGCATCTTTCTTTGGATGCAAGGGCAGTCAGAACTGGTAGCAGAGGGGCCAGCACAGAGGAGAGGAAGGGGAGGCAATCGGGTGATGTTCATTTCTTAACTCTGCATCTGTCTTGCTTTCCCCTCCCTGGCTTT